CGCAAAAAAAATAAGATCTGTGTTCAACAGAGTTGTGACCTTTACACGTTTTGTCTTTAAGATAATCTTTACAAGTTAATCCCAAATGTATACATGTTGAAGCTTATATGAAGTTTAAAAGAACACAAGCAGGTTATAACTGGTGTGTTTTATGAAAACGTGAAAATATTTAGAGGCTTTGTTAACCACAGACCTTATTTCAGGTGATTTAGCAAAAACCCATTTAAAAAAAAACCCATAGACTTTAGGGCGAGGGAACCTGGAAGTGCTAAAATGCTTACTACTTCCGCGTTTGGCCTACAAAGTGACGTCATAATTTCAGCACTCTTTAGTGACTGTATAACAGACCCTCATATCATACAAAATGTTGCTGGTGCAGTTTTGCATCTGTTCTGGTTATTGAATATATTGAGCGCAATTGAAGTACTTCAATATTGATTTCACTGTAATTGTTGTATACACAACATTGGAAACATGACCTGGAGGTTTTGTACACTGAGTAACCGTCTTGTACGTTATGATTAATAGTTTCGTGTACAATCAATATTTAATGTCCCCATAATTACGAGGTAAGTTTGTGTAATAAGTGGTATCCCTTAATTGTTCATCTTCAACTCAAATCAACATTGTAATGTCTAGTAGCAGCTTTGTGTCAGGCTTGTAATCACCCTGTCGGTTTTTTTTTGTGATGATCAAGAGGCACATTTATCCTGTAGCTATATCTATATTTTAGATATAACCATTGAAGGTTAAATAAAGGGTTTATCTATATTTTTACAATTTCAAATCAAAATGCCTCTTTTTGAATCCAGTCCCCCCCCCCCACCACCACCCCCTCCCCTTAAAGAGGTGGTGAAGTAGGCTATGATTTCACTTTCTAACTTAAGTTAGTGTGAAATATTAAACAGCATTATCAAAGTTCCAACGCTCAAAGCAAAGGAAGATATTTGCTTTTAAAGAAAAGGACTACAACAAATGGCTGGTAGGGACTACACGACATTCCTCCAGGGTTTGTGACATCAGCAACCCCAAAATGTACAAACCCCACCCCTGGGAACTCAGTCCATGTTGAGAAGAGGAAGAGTGGTTGTATAAGAGTACATTTGTGAGTCAGCTCAAACTCTAGCATCCATCTTTTCCTATACCAGTGATTCTACATGTTGTCACTTCTTGAGTCTCCATCTTTGACTGACTCCATTTTAACATTACATGGAGAACATTTTCTGTCATTTTTAGTGTCTGCATGAGGTTATCACAGCTGCTAACACACATGATCTCTTGAAGCCCTGCCCTCTGCAGCAGCTCATTTGCATTTAAAGGGCCAGGCACAAAACGGTGCGTTTTTGCAAACCCTCAAAAAGTGACAACTTTAACATGCTATATAAAAATATCTGGGGGGTATTTTGTGTTAACACACACACACTAGGGACATCAGAAACTTATTTTACATCTTGTGAATGGCATTTTACCACCCCTTTAAATTCTACCTACTTGGTTATTCATGTCCTCCTAACTCGTAATTTAAGATTTCCGACACCATTTGAAGGGCATAAGAAAACGTGCGTTTGAGGTCTCTTTACTTGTGTACTTTTTGAACGAGTCAAATCCATTCTCTTCCTTTCATAGGTATGACAATGAGTTCGGGTACAGCAACCGTGTCTGTGACCTGATGGCACACATGGCCTCCAAGGAATAGATGTGACCTTTCTGCCCTTTTTGATACGTGACCCACCATTTTTTCATCTGGTTGGGTCTTTGCACCACATGCCTGGAGGAAATTATGCTCAATTTGAAGACCAATGTTATTTTTATATGAAAATGCTCTGTTCTGTTTGTGTGAGGATTAAAAATGGATGTTGACTTCAAAAAGGCTTTTCTGTCTGCTAAACCTGTGATGGAATAAAGTCCTGTTTGTGAGAAATCTATGGAGGCTATTGTCTTTGTTTCATCTAGGTCTAGTGACTCAACTGGGTCTGAGCACTCATTTGAAAATTGCAAATGTTCATTTTAAAAGAAGCCAGCATTTTAATTGGGTTTTCATGGAGACTTATTGCCATGACTCTAGGGCTGTGAATATTTGGGTGGACTTGATTGCGGTTTTCATCTTTTTAAATGTTCGTTTATTCAGATCATTCACAAAAGGGCAGACTCCTTTTAATATTCATGTAAGAGCATTTTGATAAGATTAAAACGAATGGCTATACTCTTGTAATAGTTGGAGGTCCAAACAAAAAGCTTTTCATACTCTTAAGTTCACACAAATTCTAAAGTGCCTGTAAATGCAGCACTACGCTACAGGGCTGCCTTCGTCACAGACTATACATTTCCAGTTATTAAATTTAAATCTACATTTTTATTTAAACACCTTGGCTTTAAGGATGTTTTACACAATCAGTACGTTCTGTTTTTTCTTGAAATATGGGCCTTCAAGGAGTAGTTCACTTTTAACATCTTTTGCTGATAATTTACTCACCCCCATGTCATCCAAGATGTCCATGTCTTTCTTTCTTCAGTCTAAAAGAAATTAAGGTTTTTTTTTATAAAAATTCCAGGATTTTACTCCATATAATGGACTTCAATGGGAACCAAACGGTTCAAGGTCCAAAAGACCGTTTCAGTGCAAACTGTTCAAAGGGATTTAAACAAGTCCAGATGATGAATAAGGGTTTTATCAAGCGAAACGATTGCTCATTTAATAAATAGTTTAAGTTTTATAAGCTCAAATGCTCTGTTCTGTGATGCACATATGTGTCTCTCCTGTTCGAACTCGTTCATCAAAATGAACAAATCTTTTTTTTTAAGTCATTTGGTTCATTCAATGAACGAATTGACTCAAAAAAATTTGTTCATATTGATGAACGAGTTTGAACTGGAGAGACGCACAGAACAGAGCAAGGCGAGCGTTTGTGCTTATAAAACTTGAACTTTGTTATATATTTTTTAAATGAGCGATAGTTTCGCTTGATAAGACCCTTATTCATCGTCTGGAATCGTTTAAAGCCCTTTGAACAGTTTGCACTGAAACTGTCTTTTGGACCTTGTACCGTTTGGTTCCCATTAAAGTGCATTATATGCAAAATTCTGGAATGTTTTCATCAAAAACCTTAATTTCTTTTCGACTGAAGAAAGAACGACATGGACATCTTAGATGACATGGGGGCGAGTAAATTATCAGCAAAAGTTTTTTTTTTTTTTTTTTTTTTAAAGTGAACTACTCATTTAATGGTATTATTAACTTGCACTTTAAAACCAGTTTTCAAAATTGTGTTGTCAGGCCCTCAAAAACAGTTGTCATGTGAATGAATGGCCAAAATGTGTAAAACTTGTTCCATTTTTAGTACAAAACTGTAAATGGCCCTTATAAATTGTTAACACTGCTGCCTTAGGGGCTGTTTACATGACACTAACTTAAAAACAACTAAATAGAGTTTGGTTGTTCATTTCCACAACAGCATTTTGGGGGCCTGAAAATGCAAACTTTTGAAAACTAGTGTTTTCAAACAACAAAAATGTGAATCTTTATAAACTGACTTCATGCACATGCGTATTAACTGTCCAGTCTAATAGGTGCATAGTGTTTTGTTACAAAGTGACATCGTGCCAGGCCAGTTTTCTTTCTTTTTTTTTTTCTTTTTTTTTCACGGATCCATCTGAACTGACCCAGGATCATTTTGACAGCAGTTTGTAGCCTACAGTTTGAGACCTTTTCCCTGTTCAGTACATCATTGTACTATCATTGTATACAATTTGACTTAATTTCTCAATTTTGGGGGGAAGTTATAGAAACACTATCATGGAATTTCATTCTTTCAAAAACTATTCGTTTCAGTTTGTTCACCACTACAGAAATTTATCAAACTGTGAATTTAGAGAATTCCACTGAAAAATGTGAAAAGGGTCCATGGAAAACTGAATAAAAAAAAGTGTTTTCTACAATTTCCGAAAATTTCACATGCCAAAAAAAAAAAAAAAAATGTAGCCTATGGAAGCTTGTTTCCGCCACTTAATAATAATAAAAAAGAAATTGGGCATATGACAACATTCAAGGTTAAGCATGTACAACATGAAAAGATATAAACTTTCACTCTCTTTTTTTCATTCTTTCAACCCCAATTTTAAGAGTGAAAGTGCCTCGATCTAGTAATTTGTAAAATGACATCACCAATCATGCGAATATGCTTTTACCTGGTCTGATGGTTAATGATTTTTAAAATATTCTAACCTCTTACTGTTTTAATTAAATACGGTTTCCCTGCTCTCGTGCACCCATCTAAGCACTCTGTTGCATTCTCTTTTTCTCCCTCACACAGTCTATTAGTTCAATACTCTGTCCATTTGTGCACCGGGGTAGTTTCCCATGAATAATGCACCCTGACATACACATGCCATTATTTCACCTGATGGGCCTTTATGAAATATGTCTATCAATGTTATCGATGTGGGGAGTCAGAACAAGACCAATAGACGTTTTGACTTTAATGCATTGCATTAGCACGGCACAGATTTACCAATGATGAGCACGGTGCTTTAGGGGGGGGGGAAAACTTTAGACTTTATCAGTCAAGAGTGCATAACATTATTATACATCATATTAGAGTTGACGTTTCCTAAAATAAAGCAATTTAAAATAGTTGTTTACAATTCTACGTCCAAACAATCATCTTAGGACTAAATGAATATTTCAGATGCATATGACTCATGATTTAGCCTTGAGACATTCTAGGATTGTGGGATTTATGGTGCAGCTCATCCTTTTGCATTTATTTATGTGTGTGTGTGTGCGCGCGCGCGTGCACTTTAACGCTGTCCAATTCTGTTGATAAGAATGCGGGCAGAGGATTATGAGACTTTAGTTGCTTATAGTTCAGACGGCTGTTATACCGCACATTTACTCTTTCATATGCAATCACCCCCACCTCTCTCTCTCTCTCTCTCTCATCCACCCACAAACACAGATTATGTCACTGCTATTAATCTTATAGCATCAACAAGTGCAGAGTCTGCCATGATGTTATTTCATCTCAGTAAAACATTTACGGCTCCCATTGTCTATAAAAACTAAGTTCCGTCGGAGGCGCATCCTTTAATCGCAGAGTTAAAGTGCCAAAGAGTGCGAATGAGGAGAGAGAGAAAGGTAGAGGTGCGCATAAAGAGGGAGGTGCAGGGTTTTCAAAAGGATGGGAGGGTTTCTGTTGAATCCTGATGGTCCTCTGGCAGATTGACCACCGCAAAATTGATTCGCTCTTCCAGTATAAACAGAGAGCAACAGGAACAAAAGAGGCTTAAGACCGAAAAGCTAGCATTTCACTTTGAGATTAACAGAGCGGCAGATTGAACAAGACTGAGAGATAAACACAAGTGGACTTACAAAGAGGAAGGTGAGTAAAAAAAAACTTTCACCTTGTTTGCTCAGATGTTATAGTGATGTAGTTTATTTGACAAGCTGAATTAAGTTGGACACAGCAAGCTTCAGTGAAATAACACATCTCTCTTGAACAAATTTGTTATATTTCTTCCCTGCTTTATTGTTTTATTTCCTTCTTGTTCATTTGTTCTATTTTTCTCCGCTAATGTTTTCTACGTGAGAATGTTTTTGTAGCACATTAACACTTTATTGCAGTTAACATAACAATGAACAATATGTTAACCACATTTATTTATCTGATAATATTAGTTTCTAATTTTAATACTATTTGTCAAATTAAAAGATGTAAACATGACATTCAAAGTGAACAAATGTATATTTCTAAATAAAAAAAGTTATAAAACATTTTAATGTAATTTGAGTTGAAATTACTTCCAAATTGATTGCACTTTTACAGTGTATTAACATTAAAATTGAACATATATATATATACACAGCATTTAAAAAATATTGTTACTTGTTAGTTCATGTTAGTTTATCATGTCCAATTTTAATGTTAATGCACTTCTGATTGCACTTTTACAGTGTTTTAACATTTAAATTGGACATGATAAACTAACATGAACTAACAAGTAACAATATTTTTTAAATATATATATATATATATATATATATATATATATATATATTGTTACTTTTTATTTGCATTATTGTTTAAAATATTGTTACTTGTTATTGTTACTTGTAACTAAGAAGTAACAATATTATACATATATATATATTAAAAAATATTGTTACTTTGTATTTGCATTATTGTTTAAAATATTGTTACTTGTAAGTAACAAGTAACAATATTTTTTAAATATATATATTTAAAAAATATTGTTACTTGTTAGTTCATGTTAGTTTATCATGTCCAATTTTAATGTTAATACACTGAAAAAGTGCAATCAATATGGAAGTAATTTCAACTCAAATTACATTAAACTGAACTTAAATAACTAGTTTTGAAGACTGAAAGCAATGTAAAGTGCTACTACTGTAAATATAATTTTCAGTAAGTTACATCTCCATTCATTCACTGTGAATTAACATGAATGAGCGACTTTATTTTGTATTAACTAATATGAACAAAGATGAATAAGTACTGCAACAAATGTATTGCTGGTTGTTAGTTCTTGTAGTTAATACATTAACTAATGTTAAAGTGTTACCGTTTTTATAATAACTTAACATAACTTGAGCACAAAATGCTTGCTGCCAGGCTGCCGACTGGTCAAAAGTTCGATCACATTACGCCGATCCATAACCTCTAAATTGGTTACCAGTCAGAAAGAAAATAGAGTTCAAAATTTAAATTTTTGTTTTTAAATCATTACACGGTCTAGCACTGAGGTACCTATCGGACTTAGTACACTACCACAACCCATCCAGGTCACTTAGATGTAGTCTAGATTGCTCTCTGTATGTCGATCGAGACTGAAACATCGAGGTGACCGAGCCTTTGAAATAGTAGGCCCCAAATTCTGGAATTCCCTACCATTATCAATTAGAATAGAGTCGTCACTTACCACCTTCAAATCAAAGCTTAAAAGACACTTTCTCAATGCTGATTCTTAATCTTCTTTCTTAACTTGGAACTGTATTGTATTCTATGTGTTATTTATTTTGTATGCCTGTATTTATACCGACCTGCAATTTTACTTTATCTTTTTATTGATTATTTTGTCCTGTTCAGCACTTTGGTCAACCATGGGTTGTTTTTAAATTTGCTCTAAAAAAAAATAAATAAATAATGAATGAATGAACGAATGAATGAATGAATAACATCACTTCAAAAGTCACATTTCTGTAAAGTGCATTCGTACTTGATACAACAGAGGATTGGTGCTTCGATAATATTTGTCAAATGACTTTTGAAATATTTCAATTAATTGAAAGCAAAACACAGCATTAATTTTGAATACTATTGCTTTCACACAAAATCATGTTGGTCTTATGGTTTAATGTTAAGAACTTGTGTTTGAATATGCAACTATTTTCCCCTGATATTTATGTAAATTTCATCAAAGCAGCACTGTCTCATTATGTCTTTCTCTGTCTCTGTTAGTTCATGTCTAAGAGAGTGAATGGCTCATGGATGGGGTCTGTCCCGTCCTCCGTGCCTCATGCCTTCCGCTCACAACTCTCTCCATCTGCTGACCTCAGCATAGCCATCTTCCTCATCATCACAGGTCAGTAATCTGGTCATTATTAATGCTTCATTGGGAGATAATAACTACATTTGTCAAGGACTTTGATCTTTTGAACTTTGCTGACCTTTACATTATATAAATATATAAATAAATATATATATAGCACACTAGGTATATTCGAAAAAGCAGGTACAAATAAATTAAGAGGTACATCAATAAATGGTTGACATATATCATGTTTTGTTTATAGGTTTTTGTAAAGCAAGTGTTTTATGTCAGTGTTTGGTCACTACGACTGATCTGCAGTCAGAACCTAAGCAATGTAAAGACACCCTCTACAATCAATACACTGATTTGCAAAGCAAATACTGCAATGACACAGCCATTTAAAAACTGCAGTGCAATCGGAGGGGTTTACATGCAGCACATCTAACACAGTTGTTTGTCGAACAGTGGCTGTGGGTTTGGAGGGATCATATGTGCTTGTATGGAAATAATCTCACAGTAATAAGATAATATTGATAACATCAAATCAATATTTTAGCTCCCAGCAAAAAAAAAAAAAAAAGGTGAAAGGTTAAAAGGTTAGTAGATCTCTCTCTAATACGGCTCATTTCCAGTATGGATCAGTTGGTACCAGTGGCGTAGCCACGAGGGGGCCTGGGTGGGCCTAGGCCCCCTCATTTACATGTCCGGTCCCCTCAGATTTCTGATTGCTTAAAAAAAAAAAAAAAAAAGTTGTTTTATTAGGATTGATAGATTGACCAATCAAAATGCTGCGCGGTAAAATGCGGCTTATTTTCAAACTTGATTTGTTTATATAACGTGTTGCGCGTAATGTACGCTGTCATCTTCATCTTTGCGTGAGAGTTAATATGCCGTGACAATGGCAGGCGCTCAAACTCAAAGTACAATATTACACTTTTTTTAAAAAGCACGGAAAGATCAACTTGATATATATATATAAATAATGTTGCCCCCTCATTTAAAGACGGGACCCCCCAAAAATAAAATTCTGGCTACGCCCCTGGTTGGTACACTTTCCATGTCAGGTGGTACAAGTGGCCTATATATCTGCATACAACTGGTTGTATGCCTGATGTAAAAAACAGTAAAAAAAATATTTAAACACTTTAAAATGTTATTTAACAACCAAGACTTGTCTAAACACATTGTTCATGACTCAAAAGTATGCTTTATATCAGTTTTGTATATTTTTTTAATGTAAAGCTTTATTTGTCAATGAGACACCTTTATAAAACGGTTAGTTCCAATCCTTGA